TAATTGATTGCAACCTACTGCTTTTGTATTCAGGGTTGTCATAATGCGTCTCCAGCATAACAAAAGTAGGATCTCCATCATCTCCCAGCGAGAATCCTGCCACATCAGGGAAAAAGAATGGCTGACAATAAAAGTTTATATTAGTTACATTATTTCAATATGAAAGTAATAAATCATCACTAAACAGAGATTTAAGTAAATAATATCACTTTTCTGTCAGAAAAAATATTGACAGTCGACAACGATGCCAAGTTTACTCATCGCTTAAACGAAAATGAAAGGTTTTTGAAAGTTCACATCAGAATAACGTTGGCTGTACTCACCCCTCCCCCAATAGCCCATGCCATGATGGTTGTGCCGCATTCATACAATTCAGGTGGCATATTTGGCGAATAGCACTCGCCCTCAATACCATGGTGTGTATCATTCAAATCTCCATAACACATGTAAACTAGTATGTGATGTACCAATGCTTCATTGCCTGGTTGCACAATAGGTTCGTACTAAGTATAAATTATAAATTACCAAGTGAAGATTATTATAAATGTAATATTTATTCGCGCGAATCAACATACGAGTGGAGAAAATATTATTATACTAGTCAACATAGACTTGCTTGGAGTCTGCTGCGATTGCGATGAAAAATAAATATAAATTGCGTAAATGAGGGGTTAACGTCATGTGACCGCGAAATGCCAACAGACTTGCCATCAGTGTAAGCGCCCTCGCATTACCGGCCAGATTCAGGCTTGTAATGATTGTTGTAATGATTTCGCGGTCACATGACTTTCGCGTTCACTCCTCGTTTACTCAATTTATATTTATTTTTCAAGGATTTTTCATCGGAATCGCAACTGCAAGCTAATCTATAGTCAACACTGCGAGACTTTTTGAGAAGGAAATCCAAAAATATATTACGAATAATTAATGTATTCAATATGTACACAATCATTTTCGTAATTACCGATTATACATGAAGGATGTTACAATAAAAGTTAGTTCACTATATTCTCGATACTGTGGCATATTATTTGTCTTGTAATGTGAATAAAAGAAGGTAAATGAAATAGCAAACTATGTAGTGTGTTTAACAACTCATGTATGAACTTTAACAAATATGGTTTTACTTGGTAAAAATACTGTATTTTTCTGCATAAAAACGAAAGAATTTCACAACGTCGAAAACTGAAAGCTAGTGTTCTGATTCTCGTAGTAGTAAGAGGTGACATCAGTTTTACTGTACTATTAATTAAAGCAACAAAAAACAATTTCAACGCGAGATATTTTGTGTATATTGGCAAATCTTTATAAAACATTAGCAAGATAATACTTTTTTTAACAAATAATTGGATTGTGTGGATATTATGTGTGGAGATATGTCATCCTTGCTTGATTACATCCGTGTATTTCTCAATAATTCGGTTTTGTATTTAAGAGTTTTTAAATAAAAAAAGTCTTACCTTAATTATATGATGTTTACCATTCAATCTTGGAATGGCGAATCCTTTACAGTTATATGTTGTATCTTGATGCCAGGGAACACTCACCTACAAAGTAAATGGAGGTATAAATAGAAAGATAGTGTAAATTCCAAGAGATAGTAGGTTACTCGCGTCAATTGCCTGCACATTTGAAGCCGTAGCAGATTCAGCAGATATATGGTCAGTCATTTCCAACATACAACGTATTACAACACATGCATAGTCACGTAGCAACTAAAGGCGTGCTGCAATGAAATGAACTCATTTAGATTTCTTACATTCTCATTTAGGAACTCCATGATTTTGACGTTCTCTCCTTCTAAGCTAGGGATCAAATCGGGTGATACTGACATAAGATACATGCTTCGTACTCCTCGCTTCTCGCGACCATGCCATGGCAACGGCTGACCATCTTCTGGTTTGCCAGGGTGATATGCCCAAATTAGTCTCATTGTGTCAGACTATGGATGGATGGATGGAAACGTTAAATGTATAGATAGTTATGAAAGCAACTGTCAAACCTTTATGGATTGGGTTAGATGAACGACGTAACTTTAGTGTAACATTGTGAATACAAACCGTTATTATCCGATCCTGTTCATCGTCACACGTGTCAAGTTTTCTTTCAAATTTCAAGATGGTGTACTCGTCCTCTTCCCTCCCGTATAATAAAGTATAGTCTTGTTTGATATCGATTCGAGGCTCCCCGTAATGAAGTGCATGTCGATCCTGGACGGTGAGATAACACATTGAAAACATAACTTGACTCTTAGTATCACACAAACCAATACATTACTACAATTCGTAAACCCGTAGGAATGTACTGGCGATTATTATTATGATTATTATTATTAGCTGTGTAAGTTTCAAAAATAGTCTTAATCCTTTTTTTTAAATTTAGGGCGATTTATAACTTATGCTATAGGGCCAGCACTAGTTTAATCCGGTACTGCACAGCACCAGTCGTCAAGCGGCACCTTTCAGATTGACAAAAGCGAACTTTGCGAGAGAGACCTAGCTCGAGCCATTCCATTAGAGCGCGTCCGTTCCATTACAGAGCGTTCCATTAGAGAGCGGGCACGTGACGTGTGATCACCTGACAAGTGCTGGATACACGCTCTAACGGAAAATACCGTTAGGTTTAGCGAATTTACGAACCGTTACGAAAGAGTTTGCTCGTTCGAAGACCGTTTTTGTAAAAGCGACAGCCTTGGTCGATACACTGTTCATTTACACAATCTTTCCTGGCACCATACGCACTCACACTGTTAGCGGCGGAGTGAAACGCGCCCATGTCATGCCATTAACCGATTACTGACGTCTATGTATTTCATGTCTTTGGCATGAAAGCTATAAAATATATAAAATACAATGCCTTGCTATCGTTTGAACATTTCAAATATTTAATTAGTCTAGCG